ATTAATTTTCTTAATCAATTGAAATGGTATATATTTAGTTTTCTTAATTATATAAAATAAATTATATATACACAATAGGATTGTTTGAATTGTATTTTATTAATTAGGAGTAATAACCAATCTGAATTACCTATTATTACTAGTACATTAATTAAATACAAAAATTATTAATTATTAACTATGATGCAGAACAGGTAAATCTCTCTACTATTGTGCCTAAAAATTCATCACTTAAAAGTAAAAGTAAAATTACTCAATTTAAGAAAAATAATTCATTGGACGGTGTTTAACTATCATGAACAAAGTCTACTGCCATCCTTCATTCTAAATGTCTCTGTGTCATTTCTCATGCTTTTGCTTTGGGATTGTCGTTACATTGTTTCTTTGGATTAAGAAGAAATTCTTCACAAAAAGAATGATCTTTTTCTCATGAGGTCTTTTAATTTGGAGTTTTTAATGTTGCTTTTAAGTAAAGTTGCATTGACCTTCTGATGAAAGTTCTGCTTTTGTTCATCTTCTAACCTCCTCTGCTGGTCAATCCCAAAGCACAAAGAGCAAAATTTAGACACTGATCTAGATAAACAACCACCCACCTCGCCTTCTGTTCACATAAATGATCTCCTTCCAGTCAATTTGAGAGCCATATTGACAAACTTGTCCTTCCCTTTGAATAACCTTTCATTCTTGCATATCCACACAATCCAAGTTATAAAAGTACAGTAAAGACCAAACTTCCCTCTTACATCTACCTACCACCCCAAAATTGACTGATCATATAACTGGATTATACTCCGTGGAAATATATGGAGCTAAGACCCTACCAATAACAGTTCCAACTACTGTTGCGGAATACATTGATCAACTCCTCCAACTCTACCATTTTTAACATGATTGACCATCCTTTTTCTCATCCATCAACAAAATGATAAGCTTTTTCTACAAAATGAATTCTATGTGGCAGGTTGTGTTACCAAACCTAGAGGAGCTACAAGTGCGCTGGATGAATGTTAACATCGAATGGCATACTTCAATAACATATTTATGTGTGGGGAAACTGAAGAAATTGATCATTCAAGGCTATGATAATTTGGAGTACTTATTCTCATCTTCTATAGCTAGAGGTCTAGTGATGCTCAGTCAAGTTGAAATAAGGGAATGCAAGAGGATGAGAGAGATTATTGTCACGGGGAATGCAGAAGAAAAAGATAATTTAATTTTTCCTCAATTGAACTTACTATTGCTAGAAGACCTTCAAAACATTGTTGGATTCTACTCAGGGAATTGTATTGTTGAATTCCCATCCTTAAAGCAATTGCAAGTATTGAACTGCCCAGAGTTGGAAGGATTCATTGTTAACCATTTTGCAAGCACAAATGTCATTGCTGACAAACAACCATTCTTCAATGAACAGGTAAATTTTACTCATTTCACTTGCATTTTGTTTTCATATTAATTTAAGAAACTAATCTAAATGTGGCATGATGCATTCATTATGTAGGTTGCTTTTCCCAACTTGGAAAGTCTGACTCTCACCCACTTGAAAAACTTGGATATCATATGGCAAAACCAATTCCATGCAGATTCCTTTGGCAAACTAAAATCATTAATGGTTAGAAATTGTGAGAAGTTATCTACTATTTTTCCATCTGCTGAGATGCTGGGAAGAATATGGAAATCCCTAGAGAAGTTAATTTTATCTGATTGTGGCTCGCTAGAAGTGGTATTTGGAATTGCCGAGTTCAATGTCAAACAAACACATGCTATAATAGACACCAAGTTGAGAGAATTGAATATTGCTGGTCTACCAAGATTGAAGTATGTGTGGAATAAGGATCCCCAAGGGATACTCACTTTCCACAGCTTGGAATTAGTAGTTATACAATGTTGTGACAGACTCAAATTCTTGTTTCCAGCTTCAATAGGCAAAAGCCTTTCGCAACTTCAAGAGCTACATTTATGGAGGTGCGGGGTGGAGGAAATTGTTACGATGGGAGAACAGGGAATTGAAGCAATTGTTAACTTTGAATTTCCTCGAGTATCAAGTCTTAGGCTTGTGCGGCTACCAAGACTTCAATGGTTTTATCCAGGGCAGCACACGACAGCATGGCCAATATTAAAAAGGTTCTACTTTTCCCATTTCAATCATGTAAAGAGAACAGATGACAGTTGGCAACTTGACTTCCCTGTACAACTACCACTTTTCTCCATAGAGAAGGTACATAGCTTCTTACCAAAATAAATAATAAAAGAATTCCTTGCTTCAAATATATATAATGAAATGAGTAATTTCTAGTAATCTACTATACATGGAAATAATATTGAATTGTAGTGGTAATAACTTGTTCGGTAAGACCTGAATGGTTTTCCTGGTAAAATATTGTTTGTTTGACAAATGCATGTGACAATTCCAGTTATTCCTTTTATTGTGCCATTATTGTTTTGGAATGTTTCTGTTATTAGATTTCAAAGTATTTGGTATGTGAATACGTGATACAACTAACGCTTGCCACCCAAAATGCACTATGGAGCAGTTTTTATTCCTTTTTTTTTTTATCAGTTGTTTTTATTCAATAAGTAATGAAAGTGTATTTGGTTGCCATGTGAAATAATGCACAATACTTTTAATAATTTTCTCCTTTTCATGAACAAAATTAAGATTTCAGTAAAGAAAAATATACAACTTACACAAAAGTTTTTATTGCATTGGAATCCTTTCTAGGTCATCCCTCAGTTGGAAGAATTGTCACTAACAAGACATGACATTGCAGTGATATGTGAACACCAATTTAAAGAAGACCTCTCTTTCAATATCAAAGTTCTTCAAATTGATGGCTATGTTGATAATGAATCAGATGTTTTACCCATCAGATTCCTACAAAGATTCTGCCATCTAGAAGAGCTTGTCGTGGTGTTTTGTAATTTTAAAGAACTATTCCCTTCAAAAGGAGAAGCTGAAGAACAAGAGAAACACATTGAAATTGAGACATTCTCAAGGATTAAAACATTAAATCTACGGATCCTTCCATACCTCAGGCATATATGGAGCCATGACTCATCAATTGTTCTTCAAAATCTTAGAACTCTTAAAGTTTTTAGATGTGAGAGTTTGATTAGCCTGTCAACATCACCTGCCTCTTTTCAGAATCTCGTAACTTTGAATATACACAGGTGTAAAGCAATGGTAAACTTGGTTTCCATCTCAATAGCCCAAAGTCTGATGCAGTTAACAAGAATGACTGTGTCATGGTGTTACATGCTGACTGAAATAGTTGGAAATGAAGGAAATGGAACCCAAGATTTAATCATGATCACTTTTACTAAATTAAGATATTTGAAACTTGAAGGCTTGCCAAGATTAGAAAGCTTTTGTTTAGGAAATTTCACCTTCAAATTTCCATCTTTGAAAAAGTTAATTGTGATTCAATGCCCCAAATTGATGATCTTCAATGAGGGTGACCTAAGCACACCACTACTACCGAGAGTAGAATTAATTGAAGGAGAGGACAAGTGGTGTTGGGAAGGTGACCTTAATACCACCATACAAAGAATGTACATGGAACAGGTATGAATTGATTTCTAGATATTTTGGAAGCCATTCATTTTTTTTATAAAAAATTATTTGATTTATTTATATTTTGTTATGTAACTACCTTTTTTTTTGGCACTTGCGTAGGTTGGATTTGCTGGGTTACAACTTTTGATGTTGTCAAGTCTTCCCAAGTTGTTAGAAACATGGCATATCAAGAATCCTCAAGAACTCTTAGATTTTAGACAACTTCGAGTGCTGGAAATTTGTAATTGTAGCAAATTCAGGTACCTATTAACGCATTCAATGGCCTTGGGCCTCGTGCAACTCTGGCACTTAATGGTAAAAAATTGTGGAACAATGGAACAAGTGATAATGGGAGAAGGAGCAAAAAATAAAATGGAATTCCCACATCTTTGGTTGATCAATCTAGAGTCTTGTTCAGATTTGAGAAGTTTCTATGTGGGAAGTCATAGTCTTGAGCTTCCAGATTTAAATGATTTTATTGTAAAAGACTGCCCAAAACTGGTCACATTTGTTGCGTCTGCATCCTCCAAAGAACACAACAAAGAGGAATCCCAGTACCTCTTTAGCAGCAAGGTTAGTTTCTTTTCTGCTTTTCCCTTTTTTTTTTTTTTTTTTTTTTT